GACATCTCTTCTGAGTCGATTCTATTTGATTCATTTGAATTTTGACACACGAACAGCTCACGATCCACACACAGCTGAGCCACAGAAAACCAGCGCCCACTAGATGGCACTAGAGACATGTGCGCAGTCCACTGTGTGTGCATTTATGAATGGTTTGCGTCCGGTTTTCTTTTCTTTTTTGGTGTGGTTATTCTCAAATAATAGGTCTGTTAAAATAATTAAATCAAAAGAAAAACAAATATTTGGATTTCTGATATATTTATTTCTGTACAAGTGAAGGAAAATTACAATAAGCAACCACTGTATACAGAAAAAAACAGGGAAATATTTTATGCTTATGTTTTCTGATTTCTAAAACATCAAGGAAATAAATGCAAGAAGTCCCAACATACATTCTTAAGATAATTAAAGTGCAGCAAGCTTGCTTTATTGTTTCTCAAAATGTTTCTGAGCATTATTAAAACTAGCAATATTGATTTAGATATTTCATCATAAAAATCCAGAATAAATACATATTCATCACCTAACCTTTGCTACGACTATAATTAATCTATGACTGGAAACTTTACTAACAATTTTTGTTGTCAGTGTTTGGCAGCTCAGAGTTTGGGTGCAGTGCATCTCGTAGCGTATCCAGAATCTTCTGAAGCTCCTCTGTCGTCTCCTTTATTTTTGTCACAAATTTCATGGTCTCAGACTTCAGCTCTTCTGCCTGTTGAGTGTTTGAAGGCAGCAGGTTTGTTGTGTCGCTGTTATTTGACGTCTGGTCCGTCGACCCAGCGCTTTGGTTGCTGGTGGATTCTGATTCTCGTTGACTCTCTCTTAAAGCGTAATCTTGGCGGATGTTGTGGATTTCTCTAGAGTCGAGAAAAACAAAGAAGACATCAACAGCTACAAAAAGTGCAGACAAAACTCCAGTAGCTGCTTCAGCCACACGAACGGCTCTCGCAGCCTGAGCTGCAACCTTCCCAACATTTACGACTTCAATTACACGGAGAATCTCCGGAATGCCTCCCAGTCCTCGTCCAAGTCGAGCTCCAGCATTTGCACCAGGTTGTGCATTGGAAAACGACTCATCACTTGTGGAAAACTGTCTTTCTAAAGTTTCCACGGCTATTTGGATGTTTTCGATGCAGCAAACTGTGGAGGTGATTTTTTCTTGGAACTCTTTTATGAGCATTTTGATCTTTTGCCGGTTTGTTTGCTGGTTAACCATGTTTGTTATGTTGCTGGCTCCAGCTGTTACTCCTCCAGCTACTGCCGTACCGATTCCCACCCCTGTTACTATCAGAGACGCTCCGAGTGTGAACGGAGAGAGAATAAGTCCAACTACAGATGTGATTCCTCCAGCCAGTCCTATGATACCTCCTGTGAGACTGCCTACAGTTGTGTTGAAATGGACTCTTTCCAAATCATCAGCCAGGGCTCTCAGTTCCTCTAGCATCCTATAAAGTGTCTTAATAGTTTGCATGTTCTGAAAAAAAGGCAAATTTCATCAAATCTAATTTTTGTATGTTCAATGCTTTTTTTGTTTTTTTACACCCCATTTTGTTTAAAACCAGTGCCAATGTATACTTTTTAAAGCAAATTCTCTGAACAATTAAATATTTTAATAAGGTAACTCACATTTTCACGAAGATAATTAATGATAAACGGTCTGGTCAAGATCTCGCTGACAGACGGGCGATTCGCCGGATCGGTCTGAAGTGTGTCTGTTACCAGCTGACGAAGATCCTCGGAGAAGGTCGCAGGAAGAGCTTCATGGGAGGATGTGAGTATCTTTTTAACAGTCTCAACTGTGAGTATTGCAGGAAACTAAATGGGGACAAAAATTAGGAATCAGTTGTCAAAATCTTTCATCTATCAACAGGCTCAAACAAAAACAGTCAAGCTGTATTCCCACTGAGACAAAACAATTAAGCAAACACATTTGTAAAGCAGTACAAATAGAGATAGAGCGAGAGCAGCCAGGATGTTTGGTTTCATATGAACATGCTTTGGATATCATTTTTAAAAATGTATTTATTTTTCGCGAAAAAAAAGCACTTGCATCGCTTCATAAAAATTGAGGTTGAACCACTGGAGTCACATGGAGTCTTCCCTACGTTCTGGACCTTGACTGTATAAGTTGCACTGGATCTCTATGGAGGGAAGGAGACCACTCGGATTTCATTAAATATATCTTTGTTTCTGTTCTGAAGATGAATGAAGGTCTTACGCATACGGGTGTAGAATAACAGGAGGGTATGACAGAATTTAAATTTTGGGTGACCTAACCTTTTAACTGGTTAACTAATGAACTGATGCCATTTTTACTTGAGACTGCATTGATATTTCTTAATACATTATATTAAATTCCCTGCAATAAATTTGAATATCATAGTTTTAACCTTGTGAAACTCTTTCAATCTGATGAAAGGAAAATCTCACCGCACATTTCAGCATGCACAGCTCATAGATGACACATCCCAGCCTCCATATTTCACTGTGAAAGTTATTAACGGCATAGCATTAGTATTCAGTTTGAAACATATGATGAATAGCCAGTCATCATTGCAGTTTGAAAATGTTTTACGTTTTTTCCTCATAAGGTTTGTCATTCAAAATCTCAGGTGCAACATATGAAGAAGGTTCATTTTCTGCTGTTTGTCCTTCAGTGGACCTGATAGAAACAGGGAACATATGGTACAGAATACAGATCATAAAGCACACATCTACTGTATATGTATGTTTTGTATTATGCATAGAAGAGTTCCTAACAAAAGTTATGTTTTGAATTAAAGGAGCAAACAATACCGTTGATGGACCACTCCAAACTCTCCGAGACGGATGGTTCCAAATGTAGTGAAGAATATACTCTGTCATGAGAAAACAGATATATTTTGTAAGTTTGGAGAGGGTGATATTGAGTGAAAGTATTTTCTAGCAATGATTTGACTATCTGTTTCATTCTCAGGCTTTCTTGCATTTACAGTACACTGATAAACTTTTGCAACTTGAAACTGCAGAATTGTTGTTGTCTCCATGTTACTGAGGGTATGTTTAGATGACAGTGATGTACTAAAAACAGAAAACAACATTGTTAAAATTATCTCCATTTACACGGATCTGTGAAAACGACCAAAAATGCTGTATTCTGCTGCCAGGCCAGTAGTTGGCGACGCCACTTAGTCAAGAAACACCCTGTGAAAATGTAATAGGCATGAGCATGACTAGGGTTGGGTACCGAACTCATTGTGTCGGTACTACCGAGTACCGATTCACGCCAAATTTCGGTACTTGAGAACGCATCTGGG